AAGTTTTCTGTTGTCTTTGAGACGCTTAAGTTATTTTTATTTGTTGATTATGTGTTGGTTTGTTTTACCCTGTATCTTTGTTTTTCCATTTTTTGATATATCTGAATGTGTGGGGCAAGTGTTCTGCTTTGGTTGTTAGCTTGGCAGCACTGGGATACTTCCCAGCTGTCTCTGGTTTGGTACAATAACTAATGGGAATATAGGTACAGGTCTCTGAAGAGGAGTTGCAGTTGGGAAGAGCAGATGTTTTCCACCATCTGTCATTGAACCAGTGGTGTAGAAGCTGGTGATAGTGCTTGTCTGTTGGGTGAGGTGGTCCATGTAGTAGATATGGTTGACTAGGGGAGAGTTAATGTCTTTCTCCTGTTGGAAGTGCAGGAAAAATTTTTTAAAATACAAGGAGAAGAAGAGAATAAAAAGGAAAAAAGGAGTAAGAATAAAAGAGAAAAAATATAGAATAGAAACAAAAAGATAAAGGAGTTGTGGATGAAATGAAAGATTGGCAAAAATATAAGAAGGCAGAGACAAAAAGAGAGAAATGAACAGGTGAAAAGGAAGAAAAAGGGAAGGGGGAAAATAAGGAAACTGAGGGGGAAGGACTTTCATAGTCATGGTCAGCTGGCAATGGCTATAATCTTCATGGATGCAGATTGTCAGGCCTTTCCTATGGTGCTGCTGGGTGGGCTTGAACCACCAACCTTTCTATAAAGTAGTCAAGCACAAACCTTTTGTGCCACTCAGAGGCCTTGTGTGTTCATATGTGTTACTGTGACTAGGAAAGTGTGAGGCTTCTCTGTGAGGTTGCATCATTGCTCATCAGGATTGCCCGTATTCGTATAAGATTTACCCATGGAGCAGTTCTCATGGTCTCTGTGCACTGAATATTTTCATAGTACTGCCATAACAACAATATGTCCCTTTATCTAGCTTTTTTTCTTCTCTCATATCTCTCTGAATGTGATGCATATTTCTTATTTACCAATAAAAAAAAATCTGATATTCCTGAATTAAGATTATTTTTATTTTGCCTAAATTCTTTGAGGAAAATATTTGACTTTTAAATAATACTCACATCAGCAAAGGATTATATATTTTAAAGTTCGTGAATTTGACATGTTTATATTTAAGGTACCAACTGAGTACCTAAGAGTCCTCAAGAAGTCAGAGAACGGATTTATAGACTACCATGGCCTCTTGAGAGCTTCCAAATTAGCTGATCATGAAAATCTCCATTTTGATTAATAAAATCAGAATGGCCTTCAATACTCTGAGCAAAGGGTTATTTTTCAGTTGTTTTTGTTAGTAAGTCTACATGTCTTAAAATGCCAAAATAACTTTTTAACAGAGAATTTGTTGCTCCAAATTTGTTAGATATGATTTGTTATTTCTTCATTTCTGAGACTAATCTGATATAGAAAGACCTTTTTTGTTACAGGTGATCTGTGGAGAAACATGACAGATTGAATGTTGTCAGTGTAAAACTTGAGCTTTGTACTTAGGGTTTTCTGTTTTACTTTGTAACTGTTCAGAAACTGCATATGGTCTTTTCATTATTATTATTATTATTTTAATTAGAAAAGTGAGAACTGAATCTATCAAATGAGAATGTTGTAAGCCATTTTCCATTTGATAGACTTTTAGTTGGTCTCATAAGGAGTTCTAGTGGTGTAGTGGATAAAGCGTTTGACTGCTAACCTGAGGGTCAGCGGATCAAACCCACCAGGAGCTCCATGAAAGGAAGATGGAGCAATCTACTTCTATAAAGATTTATAGCCTCAGAAACCCAATGAAGGTCACTATGAGTTGGAATCAACTTGACGGCAATGAGTTTGGTTTTGGTTTAGGGTCACTACGAGTTGGAATCAACTTGATATCAGTGGGTTTGTTTTTTTGTTTGTTTATGGGATTTTTGTTTTTTGGGGTATTCTTGCTATTTTTAAAAATGGTGCAGTAAAAGTTCAACAAGACAGAAAATAACAAATGCTGGCGAGGTTGTGGAGAGATTGGGACTCTCATACACTGCTGGTGGGACTGTAAAATGGTACACCCATTGTGGAAAGCAGTATGGCGATTCCTTCAAAAGTTGGAATTGGTAATACCATTTGACCCCTATTCCATTACTAGGTATATACCCTAAAGAAGTGAGAGCCATGACAAGAACAGATACATGCACACCCATTTTCATCGCAGCACTATTTACAATAGCCAAAAGATGGAAACAACCTAGATGTCCATCAGCTGAGGAATGGATAACCAAAGTTTGGTACATACACACAATGGAATACTATGCAACCCTAAAGAATAATGTACAATCTGCAAAACACTGCAAAACATGGATGAACTTGGAGGACATTATGCTGAGTGAAATAAGTCAATCACAAAAGGACAAATATTGTATTAGTCTGTTACTGTAAAAGTTAAGGAAAAGTTTACCTATAGAAGGAAATTTTCTTTGTTGGTTACCAGGGGTGGGAGGGGAGGGGAGGGAATGTTGTTATATAGATAGAGATAAATATTGATTTGGGTGAAGAGAAGGGCAATGTACCAAATGTGAGTGACCAGTATGGCAGCATTGAGGATGAGAAAGACAGAGAGAGGTACATGGGAGGTACAGACAACAAAGATGAACCCTTTTGCACATACAGTACTGCATTGTCAGTGAAGGCAAACATGGGTATATGGGTGGATAGATGGGTGGACAGGCTGAACAATTAGGTATGTCTATGAAATGGGGAGTGTATCCAAGAATATATATAGGGTTGGCAGACAATGGTCCTATAAGTTTATGTGAATGATCAGAATTTCCAGGTGTATAGTAGAGCTGACAAGGGGCAAGGTTATGGTCACTGCTTGATCACAGCCAGCTACCCAGAGGGACTGAGTAGTTGAACCTGAGGGTTTGGGACCATAGTCACAGGGGACATCAAGCTCAATTGGCATAACATACTATTCAAAACATTGTTCTACCTCCTACTTTGGCAAGTAGCGACTGGGATCTTAAAAGCTTGCAAGCAGTCATCTAGATGCAACAATGGATCTCTCCTCGTTCAGAGCAAAGAAGAAAGAAGAAAACCAAAATTAATGGAAACACTCAGTCCTCGCAACTGGTACACCATCTGATCTGCAACTATACAACTATAAGACCAGAAGAACTACATGGTGCCCAGCTACCACTGTTATCCACTTGGAAGGGATGTAGGAGATCCTGCATAGAGAGGGAAAACAGTGTGGAACAAAACTCAAAATCATTTGGAGAAAAAAGAAAACAAAAAAGGGGGGGGGCCAGGTTTGCTGGTCCGATAGAGCCTGGTGGAACCTCTGAGACTATGGCCCCTAGCTGCCCTTCTGGTCTGGAATTAAACCCACACCTGTGGTTTCCAGCCAAAGAAAATACAGGCATATGAGTTGACATTTACTTCAAGGAGATACACTCCTTGGAGAGAACAATCATGGAGAAAGAAGGGCTGCTTATGCACAGGGAGACAGCTCAGGGGGCAGGAGTGCATGGAGGGATAGACACAGGAAAGAGGCAACTATGGGGAGGAAGTGGGAGGGGAGCTGTTGCATTGTGGTAAACTGTGGTCAATGTCATGAGACGAAGTATATGTAAACTGCTGTATGGAAAGTGAATTTGCTTTATAAATCTTCACCCAAATCACAATTAAAAAAAAAAAAAAATGATGCGGTAAATGTCCTGTTCATGTTTGTAATCATGATGTTTTGTATGTTAGTTTTTAAAACACGTGGTTATTGGGTAAAGAAGAGATGTGATTTTATTTTAGTAGATGCTGCCAAAAATATTTTAAACAAAGGTATTAGTCATTCATACTATTACTTATATTGTTTCAGAGCATTTTCATTTTGCTTGTTTTAGATACTATTAAGTGTTTAATTTTTGCCAATCTGATGGGGGAAAATGATGTATCTTTGTTATAATTTGTATTTACATATTTGTTAGTAAGGTTGATTGTATTTTCATATATTTTTTGCCAGTTTTAATAATTTTTTTCTGATTTATTGTCATTTTTTATTGTCTTAAGTACCACAGGTAATTTTTTCTTGTCATCCTGTGTTTTTTATTTTGTTTTTAGTTTATCTTGTTTATGCCTTCTGGAATTTCTCTCTTTTTAATAGTGGTTTTCCCTCTCTCGTAAAAACCAAAACCAAACCCTGACATCCAGTCTTTTCCAACTTAAAGCAGTCCTATGTAACTGCACTATAGTGTTTCCAAGGCTTTAAATGCTTATGGAACCAAATGTAAAAATTGTTATCTTTACATTTATATTTTTAATCCATCTGAAGTTAAAAATTTAGAAAGTCTCAGAATGGTTTTTATAAGAAAACTTTTAGCTTCTGACTATATGTGAGCACAGTGTGTACCTATGTGTATCTCTTGATTAATGTAATTTTATTATGAATGTCTGGTGTTTATGTAGAATATATTTGGCAATTCTGTACTAAAAAATAGTGCTAAGGTTATATAAGAAGGATAAAGACGCATATTTGCTTTACAGTTTAAGTGTGATCATGCTTAAATATAGACATGATATAGTTTAATGATTGGTCTTTGATTTTGTACTTTTGCTTATGGGTAAATAGAGCTCCTGAATTTCACCCTTTTAAAATATTTTTCCTTACTAGATCGTGGTGATGCTTATATGACTTTGTGATATACTTAATGCCGATGAATCACAAATTTTGAAATGATTAAATGGTAAATTTATATTGTATTTATTTTACCACACAAAAAAATACTTCCTTAAAACTTACTGTCTACTTAGACAATACATATGCATATAACTATATCTATGTTCTTTTCCAAGATGCTTTCTTTTCTTCTTTTTGGTGTTTATTATTTATGAATGAGATGTATTTAATGGTACTAAAATGTAAATATACAAATCATTATATGTGTTCCATTTAATTTTAAAATTTTGTCCTCTTTTTTTTTTTTCCATTGCCACTTTTTATGTCAATAATAAAAATTCTCTTTGTTTCAGCTTAAGAAAATTCGATCATTACTTGTTGCTGGAGCTGCACAGTATGATTGCTTTTTCCAACATTTGCGTTTATTGGATGGTGCACTTAAACTTTCAGCTAAGGATCTCAGATCCCAAGTTGTTAGAGAAGCTTGTATTACTGTTGCGTAAGTATATTCTTTTTGTGATGTTTATTTTTTCTGAATGGATTTAGTACTCATTGATTCAGTGGTCATTAAGTAAAGTAGTAGCAGAATAACCCTGAAGTGCATATATATGATCCAAAAATGATTTTTATTATGCAGAACTTTATTTGAAATGTGGAGTTGTTCTATATGAAGGTCCACATACGTAATAGAGCTAACAGGGGGCAAAGTTATGATAACTTCTTAGCCACAGCCAATCACCCTGAGGGAGCAAGTTATTGTGTCTGTCGACTTAGGACCATCAAGCTCAATTGGCATAACATACTGCACAAATACGTTCTACATCCTACTTGGGTGAGTAGTGACTAGGATCTTAAAAGCTTGCAAGCAGCCACCTAGATGCAACAATTGGTCTCTCCTCATCCAGAGCTAAGAAGACCAAAGACAGATGGAAACAATTAGTCCAGGGGACTAGTGGACCATGCAGACCTCAGCCTACATGACACTGAGACCAGAAGAATAAGACGGTACCCAGCTACCATTGTCAACCACTTGGAGGAGTATCAGTATAGGACCTCCTGGATAGAGTGGGAGAACGACTTGGAATAAAACTCAAAATCCTAAAAAGGACAAAGATTACAGGTCTGATAGAGACTGGTAAAAACCCCAGAGATTATGTTCCCTAGTCACTCTTTGGGCTGGGAATTGAATTCACTCCCATGGCTTCCAACCTAAGAATAAACAGGCATGTAAGGTGAATATTTATACTAGGTGGGTATACTCCTTAGAACAATCAATCATGGATGATCAGAAAGGCAGTATTTGCACAGGGAGATAGTTCAGAGGCAGAAAGGCATGGGAAAAAAGGACACAGGGAAAAGGTAACCACAGAGAGGAAGTGAGAAGAATGCTGTTACATTGTGGAAATTTCAGTCAATGTCTTGAAACAAAATGTGTATGAACTATTGTATAGAAAATGGGTTTGCTCTGTAAAGTTTCACCCAAATCACAGTAAAAACTAATAGAAAAATGTAGGGTTGTTGGATCAAGAGTAGATGTGATTTTATTTTAGTAGATGCTGCTAAAATATTTTCAACAAAGGTGTTAGTCATCTTTCTTAACAGCCCTTAAACCACTGCCATCGAGTTGGATCCAACTCCTAGCAACCCCTCCTTGGGTTTCCGAGGCAGTATCACTGCAGAAGTAGATTGCCCAACTTTCCTTCCGAGGAGTGGCTAGTGGTTTTGAACCACCAGCCTTCTGGTTAGCAGTCAAATGCCTTAGGCAACACCAAGCCAACCTTAAAATATGTTTATTTTTCTAAAACCTACTGGTGAGTTTCCACACGTATAAAAAGAAAATGAATGACTCTGAAATCTGGAAGTATTTTATTTTCTCTTTGCTAATTTGGATGTTAGGCACTTTATTTTGAAATTTTAGCAATTATCCTGGAGTTGTACTATACATCATTAACTTGTCAAAATCTAAACTAATTCTGTATCTTTGTACTCTTCCACTGTGCAAGGATAGTTTAAAGGAAAAAAAAAAAAAAAAACTCACTGCCGTTGAGTCGGTTCTGACTCATTGTGACCCCTCCTTGGGTTTCGGAGGCAGTATCTCTGTGGAAGTAGATTGCCCAGTCTTCCTTCCGAGGAGTGGCTGGTGGGTTTGAACCACCAGCTTTCTGGTTAACAGTCAGATGCCTTAGGCACTACGCCACCAGAGCTCCCATAAAAGGGTAGTTGTTGTTGTTGTTGTTGTTGTTGTTGTTGTTATGTGCCATCAAGTCGAACCTGACTCATAGCGACCCCTCCTTGGGTTTCCGAGGCAGTATCACTACAGAAGTAGATTGCCCTGTCTTCCTTCCAAGGAGTGGCTGGTGGGTTTGAACTGCCAGCCTCCTGGTTAGCAGTAAAGTGCCTTAGGCACTACTACGCTACCAGAGCTCCCACAAGAGTAGTAGAACACTTAAATTCCCACTCCCAAACTAAATACTGTTGTTGTGTAACTCTACTTCTTAAGATCACGAATAAAACAAAAGTGCTTACTATCAATATTTTTATTTGGGATTATATTAGATGTCTTCGCCAGAACAACAAACAAAACCAACGACAACAAAACAAAACTGTGAGGATTGCAAGAGAAGGAGTAAAACTACCATTATTAACAGATGATAATATTTATTCATGTAGAAAACCACAAGAGAATCTAAAGATAATTTATTATAATTATGAGACTTTAGCAAAGTTACTAGATGCAGTATACTATACCAAAATAATTCGTTATATGTAGTTAGCAAAAAAATAAAACAAGTACATAAAATGTAACTATAAAAAACAAACCTTGATGAGATTTTTGCTTCTGCCATGATGTAATAACTGGTAGAGAACTAGCTTTCTCACCAGAAAACTGGCAAAATATGTAAGACATCCCTTTACAGATCTTGGACAACAGTGAGCACAGGATTGTGACTCTCTAGAGAAAGAAAGAAATTAGTTGAGCAGTACAATAGCACCGTTTCTGGATCTTGGTGAGGGAAAAAGGATCCCAAGCAGAGCCTGACAGTCTTACTCAACTGAGTAAACAAAATGGAATTTCAGAAGACTGAAATTTGCAGAGCACATTATTGTAGAAAAGAGAGAGAACACAGAAAATGAGCCATGGAATCTGCATAGAAGATCCCATGAGTTTAGCTGAATACTAATCTGTGCATGTGGGAAGTGCCACTCTCTGAGTTCAGAAAGAAATGCTTCCTAGATCTATAAGATGAACAACAATGCTGAGAGATTCTCTAGGGCTGGGAGAACTTCAAGTTCTGGCCAGCCAGAATTAAGAAACCTTGTTAAACACTGTGGTACCTAGTAAGGACCCCAGCATGTACATATTTGAGAAACAGCACTAAACCAACTGTAAAGTAAAGGCTGCTGTAGACCTTATCAACCAACCTTAAAAGATGAAGCTGAGCCCCAAGTAAATTACCTATATGCCAGATAAAGCTCGGCCTATTTAAAGGAATATAACAACATCCAGACATTCAGCAACCTAAGTCTGTAACAACCAACATGTAATGATGAATTACTAGACATAGGAACAAAAAAAAAATGTGACCCATAACCGGAGAAAAATTGATAGAATTAGATGACGTTAATTATATACCAAGAGACTTTAAAATGCTACTGGTATATTGATTCATTGCTGTCATCTCCAAAGTTCCATCAGGTTTGTTAGAAATAGATAAATAGATTTTAAAATGTATGTGGAAATACGAAGGACCTGTTGTTGTTGATATGTGCCATCAAGTCGGATCTGACTCATAGCGACCCCTCCTGGAGTTACCGAGACAGTATCACTACGGAAGTAGATTACCCAACCTTCCTTCCGAGGTGTGGCTGGTGGATTTGAACCGCTAGTCTTCTGGTTAGCAGTCAAGTGCCTTAGGCACTATGCTACCAGAGCTCCCACGAAGAACCTAGAAGAGTCAAAACTTCTGGGAAATGAGAAGAAGGTAAGAGGACTTACACGTTCGGATTTCAAGACGTCTTATAAAGCTTAATACACGTAATCCCTGGGGTACAAATGAGTTTGTTCTGTGTCTTTAAGAATTTGTAGCTCATTCAGAAAAGGTACATAGGGTTCTTATTTCACCTTTATTGCAAGAAAAGGCTTTAAAGCATTTCATTGATTTAAAAGTTGCACGTGTAATAAGTGAAGGTGATTGTGATAAAGAAAACATTAAATCAGGGCTCAAAGATGGCAGCATCCCACTCAAAAATGGTGATGTACCACTCATAGATGGTGGTCAGCCGTACTTCTGTGAATGTGTGGCCCTCTATACAGTCTTGCCACTAATCCAGTCTCATGTATCAGGCTCTTGAAAGGGCTCATGATACCTCTTCCAAGTCTCCCATTCCAGAGCTTTGACCCACAATTTTTCCAGTTCTAGTTAACATGACTAGTCACCCAAATTGTGAAAATTCTAGCCTGTTTGTGTTTCACCTGTCAGCTGTGACAAAATTCATTTGAAGCCCTGCATTAAAGGGCAAGTAGTTGTTGTCTGTAAATTGGACTTTGTAGCTCAGGAATTGCCTGTGTGCTGTTTGCCTAAAGACAGACATATAGATCAGTTGAATCAAATAGTCAAACATACTTGTGTACATATGATCATTTAAGTTTTGACAAAGGGCTAAAGTAATTCAATAGAGCAAGGTGAGTCTTCAAGAAATGTTGTTGGAACAATTGAATATCTTTAGGAGGAAAAAGTCAACCTCAACCTTACTTTATAGCATACATAAAAACTAATTTGAAATGGATCACAGACCTAAACATAAAAGCTAAAAATACTGTAAAATGTATAGAAGGAAACAAAATCTTCACAATTTTAGTCAGGATATAGGTGTTTTTTAAGCCGTGATATTTTCAGTTGCCTCATATGCATGTGAGAGCTGGACAATGAATAAGACCGAAGAATAATTGATGCTTTTGAGATGTGATGCTAGTGGAGAATTCTGAAAGTACCATTGACTGCTAAAAGAACTAACAAATCTGTCCTGGAGGAAGTGCAGCTGGAATGCACCTTGTGCGAGAGTGGCCAGACTTCATCTCACCTAGTTTGGTCATGTTGTCAGAAGGGACCATTCCCTGGAGAAGGATGTCATGCTTGGTAAGGTGGAAGGTCGACAAGGGAGAGGAAGGCTCTCAATGAGATGGAGTGACACAGTGGCTGCGGTTATGGAGTCAAGTGTAGCGGGCATCGCAGAGCTGGTCCGGGACAAGGCAGTGTTTCGTTCTGCTGTGCATAGGGTCGCTATGAGTCGGAGGCAACTTGACGGCACACAACAACAACAGATATGACTTAAAAAAAGAAAAAAACTCAGTGCTGTTGAGTCGATCCTGACTCATAGCAACCCCTTCTTGGGTTTCCAAGGCAGTATCTCCATGCAATTAGATTGCCCAGTCTTCCTTCCGAGGAGTGGCTGGTGGGTTTGAACTGCTAGCCTTCTGGTTAGGTAGGACTTAGCACTAACTTAAAAAGAAAAAAAAAAGAGAGAGAATAAATCCTAATTAAAGATTTTTGCTGTTCCAAAAAATAGTATGTACAAAATAAGAAAAATAAAATATTGTAGGAATAATTCTAACAAGGATATCCATGATGTTTTAGAAAAAAAAATTATAAAGTTTTATGACATAATATTAAAGCTCTTACAAAATGAGATTTATACTTTATTTACAATTAAATAAGTCCTGATAATTGAAAAATGTCAGCTATTACCAAATTTATCAATCCTCAGATAGATTCAGTGTGGTTTCATTAAAACTCCCAGTAGATTTTGATTCTGAAAGTTACATGAAATAACAGGTAGTTTGTGTTATTAGGTTAGAACAATTGATAAAAAGTTTTATGAATTAAGGCAGTGAAGTATTGGCACTGAGTTAGACCAAAAGAATGTAACATATAAAAGAAACAGACCTGTCTATTTGAACTTTGACTTACACAGCAGGTGACACCTCTCTACTTCTGATTTGAAGTTATTTTCTGCATATGAGTTTAGACATTGGGAAACTGAAATTATAGCCAAGTCTGCCTATCTCTTTGATAAGGACTTGTATTTTTGGAATTGACTATCCCAGTCATATATTTTAATAAGATAAAATATGTGGAAATCACACTACAACCATTGTCCTTCCTAAGTGTTTTAACTAAAATCATATGATTTAAGTCTGAATTTGTTTAACGACTAATTTGAAAAAGAAGACAGACTTCCTTAAAGTCACACAACTAACTAGTATATAGTAGAGTTGTATTTTCAATCAAGAATTACAAAATCCTATGCCTACTCAGGGAGAATTTGTGACCAAAAAGGTGGTACCATTCATGTATAATTAGAGAATGTCTTGAGCACTGATGTGGGTAAGATTTTGAACTTATTTTTAGAATACACTTAACTGGAGATTGATGTTGGAGCATAAAAATGGAAATATCTAATGAAAAATGATTAAAAGGGCAATCAGAGCTATTTACCAGTCATTAACTTAGAGTTATAGGAGATCTGGTGGGGTAGTGCCTAAGGCATTTGGCTGCTAACGAGAAGGCTGGCGGTTCAAACCCATCAGCCACTCCTCAGAAGGAAGGTTGAGCAATCTACTTCTGTAGTGATACTGCCTCAGAAACCCAAGGAGGGGTCGCTATGAGTCAGATCCAACTTGATGGCAGTGCATTTGGTTTTGGTTTTGAACATAGAGTTACAGGCATCTCTGGGTTCTGAACTTCTGACTTACAGCCAGCTTATACTTGTCTTTTACTGTTATGTAAATAAATTTAATGTTATATAAATTTACCCTCACTATGAAACATCAAATTCTTCATCACAGTCACCTTCACTTGCTGTACATGCAACTTTTAAATCACTAAAAAAGCTTTGTGCCTTTTTTTGTACTAAAAAAAAAATAAAAACAAAGCCAAGACCATCGAGTTGACTCCCAACTCATAGAGCCCTACAGGACAAAGTAGGATTTCTAAGACTGTAAATCTTTACACAAGCAGACTGCCTTATCTTTCTCCTATGGAACAGCCGGTAGGTTTGATCTGCCAACCTTTTGGTTAGCAGATGAATGCCTTAACTAGAACTCCTTTTCCTGTAGTAAAATATGGCAAAATAAATAAGAATAGTATGCACCTGTTCCAACTTAGCTACAAATTCTAAAAGATGCGCTGAAGAACAGATCTTATTCCTGACCCAGGAACTGCCTGTAATTGTTAAATTCTCTAAGTGCCATTGCAATGAGATGAGTGAAATGCCAAATTGCAGTTTTAGGGTATCTAGTTAAAAGAGAAAAGCAAAAGAATATATTAATATTTGTATCTTCCTTTCTTTTTTTGTTTTTCTGTCACTAGATCTAATTTTTAAAAAAAAAGAAAGACAAATTAAAATACGCATTTCTAAACTAATTTTAAAGGAGTATTTTAAAATTCTGTGGTCCTATCTACATTTAATTAAACTATTTCTAAATACTTTTTACTTCCTTTGTAGCCATCTGTCCACAGTTTTGGGAAACAAGTTTGACCATGGCGCTGAAGCTATCGTACCTACACTGTTTAATCTTGTCCCCAATAGTGCAAAAGTCATGGCAACTTCTGGATGTGCAGCAATCAGATTCATTATTCGGGTAAGTTTTTTTCCTTTCTTTTCTTTTCTTTTTTTTTCTCAATGGACTGAAATAAGTCACCAGGAGCCCTGGTGTCACAGTTATTAAAGCACTTTTCTACGAACCAGAAGCTCAGCAATTTGAATCCAGTAGCCGATCTGTGGGAGAAAGATGTGACAATCTGCTGCCATAAAGATTATAGCCTTGGAAACCGTATGAGTCATTTTGCTATGAATCAGAATTGACTTAATGACCCCCCCCCAAAAAAAAACAAACTCACTGCTGTCGAGTCAGTTTGACTCATAGTGATCCCTCCTTCGGTTTCCAAGGCAGTATCTTTACAGAAGTAGATTTCCCAATGTTCCTCCCAAGGAGTGGCTGGTGGGTTTGAACCATCAGCCTTCTTGTTAATAGTCAGATTCCTCAGGCACTACACCACCAGAGACAGTGTAGGGTCAATAAGTCACTAAAACCAAACCAAGACAAACCCATCTAGACACTTCTGACTCACAGCAACCCTCTTTGAGTTTCCAAAGCTATAAATCTTTCTGGAAGTAGGTGCCTTGTCTTACATAGAGCATCTGGTGGGTTTAAACTGCCAACCTTCTGGTTAGCATCTAAATGCCTTACCCACTATGCCACCAGAGCTCCTAGTCAACTTCTTTTTAAAAAGAAAAAACTCTAAAGGAAAATAGCTATTGAATTATTTTCCTGATAGTTGAAACAGTGCATGGTCAATATAAAAAAAACCTCTAAACTCACTGCCATCGAATTGGACCCGACTCATAGCGACCCCTCCTTGGGTTTCTGAGGCAGTATCACTACGGAAGTAGATTGCCCAACCTTCCTTCCAAGGTGTGGCTGGTGGGTTTGAACCAGCAGCCTTCTGGTTAGCAGTCAAATGCCTTAGGCACTATGCCATCAGAGCTCCCTATATGGTCAGTATAATATGGTTCTATATGGTCAATATAGAACATTTAAATAATACCAAAGAAAACAAGGTAAACATGCTTTTATTCATAATATAATCCTACATATATTTGTGTGTGTATATGCATATATATGTGTATATAAAATCACAAGTGTTAACCCCCTAGACTATGGTCCATTGTGATCCTTTGGACCTGGAACTGGACTTCTGTGGATTAGCTCTCAGCCAAACAGTAGAAAGGCCTAGAAGCAGAACATCTACCCCATGGAGATGTACGCATCTTTCCGGGAGAGATGCACCCCTTATATCAGTCAACCTTGAGCTATCAGAAGGGCAGCATCTGAGTAGAAGGAAAGCTGGGCAGACAAGAATGTATACATAAGAAGGGCACAGGGATGGGATAGTCAAGGGGAGGAGATGGGAGGAGAGCTTTTTATTGTTCAGATTATAATCGGCACCATGAAACCAAATTTGCATGAACTATTGAAAGTAAAATGAATCTGCTTTATAAATTTGCACCCAAATCACAATTTAAAAAAAAAAATTTTTAAATGCTGTGTAACATTTAGAACAATAAAGATCGCAGGTCAGTAGAAACAAACAAAAAAAAACTCAACAGTGATGAACTTTGGACAACAAAAGAAATTTTCAGAGAGTATTTTATCTGACATTGTTTAGAATTGCCGGTTCATGGTGCAAGTAAAAAGCAGGTTAACCATTAAAAAAGACTGATCTTACTAGTCTGAAGAAGTTTGGTGGAACCTCCAAGACTATGGCCCTTAGACACTCCTCCTCAAGCTAGGAACTGAAAGTAAGCCCCATGACTCAACTACCTGCCAAATGATAGAACTATAAAGTGAACAGTAGTATCAGGAGGGTATACACTCATTACAACAATCAAACATATCAGATCAAGAGGATATCGTTTTCCCAGAGATAGAACTAGAAAGGCAGGAGAGGATGGGAAGGAAGAACAAAGGGAAGATGTAGGAATAGAGAGGAAGTGGGAAGAATCACAAGAGTTACTTACAGAAAGTAATAAAAGATGACAGGAAAATTTTTAATTTTTATCTTGAAGATGCCCAAAGGAACAAACTTAAAAAATGAATGTTCGCCTGCTTGAATTCTACTCTTCTATAGCTAATAGCATATTAGCTATATATTTCTCCAAACTTGTATACAAACAGATGGAAAATGTAAATACGTATTCACATATACATATATGTGAGTATATACATATAAAAAACCAAACCAGACTCACTGCTGTTGAGTTGAATCCAACTCATAGCAACCTCTCCTTGGCTTTCCAAGGTGGTATCTCTATGGAAGTAGATTGCCCACTCACTCTTTCTTCTGAGGAGTAGCTGGTGGATTTGAACCACCAGCCTTCTGGTTAGCAGTCAGATGCTTTAGGCACTATGCCACCAGAGCTCCTTGTTTGTATGTATGTATGTGTGTATACACACACATACATGTACGTGTGTGTGATATATATGTATATCACACACACACAACAAACCTGTTACTGTCAAGTAGATTCCAACTCATAGCAACTCTATAGTAGAACAACCTTTATGGAAGCAGACAGCCATATCTTTCTTCTGCAGAGCAGCTGGTGGATTCAAACCACTCACCATTTGGTTAGCAGCCAAATTCTGTTTGGCCGTTGAACATTATGATACTGCTAGTTACTGGCTAACATATTTAGGAATTTTGCATTTATTTTAATGAATGAATCTTGTGTAATTTTCTGTATTTTCCTGTTTCACATATTTTGCTATTACATTATTGTGTTCTTAGTGTTGGCTGGTTGTGGTAGTTTAGTTTGTGTGTCAACTTGGCTGGGTTTGGTTGAGTGGCTGGGCAGCTGAATGTAGTATTCCCCATGCTGAGACTGGTAATCAACTCCATGGTGGAATCTACTCTGAGCAGCTGAGTAGCTGCCTTAGAGAATATGGTCCCTTTCCTGTGTATAAGCAGAAGCCTTGGGTAATGATCTCGAGCTTATGACATGCTTGGACCCTGCATGTAGCTGTGTCGTTGTTCTGTAGACTACCATGCTCTGCCGACCTTGGGACTTAACAGTGAACTGGGATTAATGGCCTGCCGTGTGGTTTGGTGCCTTTTTACTTGTCAACCTTGGGCTTGTCAGCCTCAGCAGCCAGCAGCTGTCTGAGTGAAGAAACGCCTCTAGCTCCAGTGGGCTGGGAGCAGGAGGCAGAGCTGGACCCCAGGGTTGAGGAGCTTTCACTCAGCCCCTAGGGCCTGGCACTTTGAACTTGGACTTTTGGCCTTCTGAACTGTAAGAGAATAAACTCCTGTTTGTTAAAGCCATCCCATTTGTGGTATATTCTTGTCAGAACGGCACTAGGTAACCAGAACAATGGTCTTTGAAATTATCTAATAATACATGAAGTACTTTAGATCACAATATAGATTTTAAGAATTATTGGTATATGGTTACTTACCATAATCTCATAATTAAAAAAAAAAAATCTGCCACTGTAGTTATAGTACTACTTTTATTATTATTATTATTATAATGGTATACATTTGTGTTTGTTATACTTACCAAGGACATTGTTATGGGTCTTTTATAAGCTTCAAGTTTTAGTTCTACTGCTTTCTAGTATGGTTCTTTAATTTTCTAATTTTTTAGTTTCTGTATTTAAGGTGTGTGTGGGTTTGTATGTGTCTATTTCAGTTCATAAACTTACATCTAGCCACATACATTCTTTTCCTTTTGTGTGTGTGTGTTGGGGTGAAAATTTACAGAGTAAATTCACTTTCCATACAGCAGCTCACATACACTTTGTCTCATGACATTGACTACAATTTACCACAATGCAACAGCTCCCCTCCCACTTCCTCCCCATAGTTATCTCTTACCTGTGTCTATCCCTCCATGCCCTCCTGCCCCCTGAGCTGTCTCCCTGTGTATAAACAGCCCTTCTTTCTCCCATAATTGTTCCCCCTAAGGAGTGTATCTACCTCAGGTAAATGTTCAACTCATATGGCTTTCTTTTGTTTGGCTGGAAGCCACAGGTGTGGGGTCAAGTCCAGACCTGAAGGGCAGCTAGGGGCCATAGTCTCAGTGGGTCCATCAGGCTCTATCAGAGCAGCAAACCTGATCCTCCCTTCACCCCCCACAAATGATTTTGAGTTTTGTTCCACATTGTTCTCCCTCTCTATCAAGGATCTCCTACATAGATCCCCTTCCAAGTAGATGACAGTGGTAGCCGGGCACCATCTAGGTCTTCTGGTCTTGTGGTTGTATAGGCTGCGGATCGCATGGTGTACCAGTCGCTAGGACTAATTCTTTCCATGAATCTTTGGTTTTCTTCATTCTTTGCTCTAGATGAGGAGAGACCCATTGTTGCATGTAGATGGCTGCTTGCAAGCTTTTAAGATCCCAGTCGCTACTCTCCAAAATAGGAGATGGAACAATGTTTTGTGTAGTATGTTACTCCATTTGAGCTTGATGTCCCCTGTGACTGTGATCGGAGCCCACTGATTCAACTACTCAGTCCCTCTGGGTAGCTGGCTGTGACCAAGAAGTGACTACAGCCTTGTCCCTTATCTGCTCTACTATACACCTGGGAATTCAGATCATACAAATAACACTTACAGGACCATTGTCTGCCAACCCTATATATGGTCATGGGTATACTCCCCACTTCATAGACATACCTAATAGTTGAGCCTGTCCACCCATCTATCTACCCATGTGTCCATGTATGGCTTCACTGACGATGCAGTATTGTATGTGGAAAAGGGTTCATCTTGTTGTCTGTACCAGCCATGTACCTCTCTATGTCTTCCTCTTCCTCAATGCCACCATGTTGATCACTCACATTTGGTACATTGCCCTTCTCTTCACCCAAATCAATACTTACCTCTACCTATCTAACAGTGTTCCCTTCCCTCCCCTCACAACCCCGGTAACCGACAAAGAAAATTTCCTTGCATAGATAAACCTTTCCTTGACTTTTAAAATAATGGACTAAGACAATATTTGTCCTCCTGTGATTGACTTACTTCACTCAGCATAATGTCCTCCAAGTTCATCCACATTATGCAGTGTTTTGAA